CTCAGCACCGTTGTGAAAAACGATTTGCAAATGAAAGCAAAATTGTTGTGCGCTTTGTCGACAGGTTTAATGACTAGCGAACGTCGTTGATTCTGAGCCCGGGCCAGAAGCGTAGAAGTGTTTACAGTGCTAAGAGGACGACCATTAATGTAGAAGCTCTCTAACTCGGGAATGATAAAAGTTAGGAAGCTAAAACTTTAGAGGAATGTTCTCTATTCATGTATGATTAAAAAACTTGAATTCTTCTAGTAGAGTCTTTTGAGCGCCAGCAATTTTCCATTTGTCAGGTCACTGAAGCCGACATCAATAACTGATATGCCATATAGCTGCACAATTAGCTCCCTGAACTTCGAGGGTCAGTATCTCACAAATTCTAGCAACTACGATTCCTTGCGATCTTGATACAGCATGAAAGAGTGAAAAGTGGACGATCGCACCGGTCCACCTAGTGCGTTCCAGCCTAGGTTTTCGTTCTGTGTTTATCACCGTTTTCACTAGGAAGAAGGTATGAAAAAAAAAAAAAAAAAACTGTGGTTGTGAACTGAAGTGAATTTCCGTGATTCATGCACTGGCTTGCTTCATACGTTGCAGACAAAACGGGTGCACACAGTCTGGAGACAGGTGGTTGCGAGGTCGATTACGAAACATTTCTTCTGCAACATCCAGCAATCGAAGTTCATCCGTATGACCGAGTACCGCTCCTCGGAAAATACGATAAAGGAAAAATACATGAATACTGCCAGGTTCGTGCTTTCTAATTGCCTCTTACTGTTCCATCACATTTCCTTTTTGCTATCATTGATATCAAAATCGCTTTAGATTTTCTTTGGAGGGTGGGATTATTCGTAGAATGAGTGATTATAGCAACTAAAAATAGACGAGTGGCAAATGCAACAGGTGCGAGTTGATGCTGTAATGCGCTGGAAAGTTACGCATTTGAACCGAAATTCTGGAAGAACTGTGAATTCATAATACCGGAAGAGTTGCAACTCTCACTTACACAAATTGAAACATTTCCATCTGCTTTGGCTAGTGCTGAATTGCCCAGTGGTCATCCTGTTGTTATAGATCTTCTGCTTTCTAAATAGATTATTAACCCAATTTTTCAGCTATGATAACTCTTGTCGGGTCTCTAGCC